GGCGGAGATTCTGTGGACTCTGCAAGCGACGATGAGCAGGATGCGCTTCAGAGCATTGCCGCTGTGGACTCACTGATCCTCGAAGGCTGTGGCTGCGTTTGGAACTACCATATCAGCAGCTTCACGCCGAGCGCAATCCTCCATTACGACGACTAAATCTCGGCGATGAAATCGAAGGACCTCGGCATTTTTATATTGGTGTGCTGGCTGCGCTGCACTCATGACGAACCTGTCGACTGTCGGGCATCAGTCGACAGCTTCCGCAACGGAACGGACGCGCATCACGTTTGGATAAACTGTTTTGGGATACATCGTGTGTGGAGCCGCGTTTATGCAGCTCCATGATCATGATGATTGTGGTTGGCAGAACATGACTGTGTGCAAGTGGACAAGGAGAGCAATACTATGTCAATAGCTGTCACCCTGGTGCACATGGAAATCTGGCAATGTGCCTTGGAATAAATTTAGTGCAGAAGTGGGAGACAGAGTGCAGCAGTTTATTCTGACCTACAGCTTAGTGTTCAGTCTCCCGCTGTCTGCTGCACCAAGAAGGAGAGGTGAGGAATCTCCAATAAACTTACCTATATCTGTCACCTACAAGTTTGCCCTTTCGGAACATGTCGAGCAATCTTGTGAAGCGCAAACCCTGGGTTACCGTATATTTTGTATCTGTAGAACAAGAAGTGCAAGTCCATGGAGTTCATGACGCGACGGATGTATGTGTGCAACAAGTGTGAGCTGCTCCGGGACGATATTCGTTCTCCTCGTGCATAGGATGAAAAGGATTATGCAACGGAACCACTCCGTGACCATGTTGTCTTTGCACAAAAAGAACGCGAGTTCTTGTTAGCTCAACGCCACAAGAACTTGCTGGACAATGTTGCCCAGTTTCGACTGGAGAGCAAGGCAGCCTTCATTGAATGTCTTGGCCAATACTAAAGGCTGACACGCAAAACTGTTGCTGCTTTCAACGACACTGTAGATAATGCATAATACAAGGCATATTCTATTTTGGACAATGCCATAGAAATCATGGTCTCTATGTACTTTCAAATGTGATATCCAACTTTATCTTCCACAGACGTGTTCTCTAGACCCCCTGTGATTGATTTTCAAGAAAGAAAAAAATTTCCAAAAATTTGCCCTTAGACACGGTATTGCATGCACTGGGCCAATATTGTGTGTGTAGAGATAGTATGGATATAAGAATAGCTATATTGTGTGTGTAGGGATAGTATGGATATAAGAATAGCAATATAGTGTGTGTAGGGATAGTATGGATATAAGAATAGCTATATTGTGTGTGTAGGGATAGTATGGATATAAGAATAGCTATATTGTGTGTATAGGGATAGTATGGATATAAGAATAGCTATATTGTGTGTGTAGGGATAGTATGGATATCAGAATAGCTACATTGTGTGTGTAGGGATAGTATGGATATAAGAATAGCTATATTGTGTGTGTAGAGATAGTATGTTTATAAGAATAGCTATATTGTGTGTGTAGGGATAGTATGGATATAAGAATAGCTATACTGTGTGTGTAGAGATAGTATGGATATAAGAATAGCTATATTGTGTGTGTAGAGATAGTATGGATATAAGAATAGCTATATGGCCCGATATCTGAGACTTTCGACCTTCGGGGCTACGCGACTTTTTTGAGAAAAAAGCCAAAACAAATTTGATCGCAAAAAAATCGATTCTGTCACAGCAAACTGCGGAGGCGACAATGGCGGAAGGAAATCGAAGGCGATCCTTGTGTCAGGTTGTTATTGGATTCACAGAAGAGGCCAACCGCGATCTCATCGACGATGATGCATCGTTCTTTGGCGATATCCCCTCCAGCGACGCCAGCGCTTCTGATAGCGCGGATGAAACGATCGCACTTGACACAACGCACTTACCTGTCGGCAGCGACGATGAAGAGGACCTTGATGAGTATGATCAGGGGCAACCGGAGCCGGCCACAGCGCTAGCTGCTGCCGCTGTAGGCAGGGACAAGCAACCAGCTATCAAGCTGTCATCCACTGAGGACATCGAAGCACGCCGGGTCGCTGGCTGCCCTTGCGCAGGGAGTCAAAACTGTTTCCTGAGTGTCCCACCAGAAATTCTAAAATCATCGCGAAATTCTACGGAGGTTCTTGGCGACGATGACCGTCGCGTATTCTTGAGTGGCAAGCTGGATGCTCTGGCTAATCGTGGCGATTCAGGACATCACGGAGCACATCATGCTGCGCGATCTCGAGTGACATACCGGTACGAAGTCGGTGGTGTGAAAACGTGTCAGGCGGTATTTTTGTATGCAAATTCCGCCAGTCGATACGACGTGCATCAAGTGCAGGCACATCTCGACGCAGGCGTTCTGACTCCTCCACAGCATGGAAATGTTGGTCGTTCTCCCTGGCATGCTGTGTCTGCGGAGGGTGTAACGCAGGTACGCGATTTCATTCGTAACTACGCTGTGGTGAATGGTCTCCCACAGCCTGCTGCACCCAGGGGGCACAACACTCCAGCACCAGTTTACTTGCCATGCATCACTACAAAGAAGCTGGTGCACCAGAAGTACGTAAATGCCGGAGGCACTGTCTCTTACCAGACATTTGTCAAACTATGGTTGAAAGAAACTCCAGATGTTTTGATTATGACTCCGAAGGAAGATGTGTGTGGAGAATGTTCAGACATGCAGTCGAAGATCACCCGAGCGAGAACGGAAATTTCCAGACAAAAAACAGTGGAAGAGTTGAAGGCGCACATGGAGAAGGCGAATGTTGCGCGAGATCATTACAGGGCCTGCATTGCGAAGGCAAAGGATGCCATAGCTGAACAGCAAAGCAGTGAGTTGCAAGCGCCAGCATACGAGCACTTCACGTTCGACTTTGCCCAGCAGGCGCACATTCCACACCATGCCCGTGGAGTAGGTGCGTTGTATTTTAAAGTTCCGCGCCGGATCCAGATTTTTGGTGTTGCAGCGGAGGCTGTGCCAGCACAGCACAACTATTTGTTTGACGAAAATGAGACCATCGGAGTTGATGGCAGCAAATGCCATGGGCCAAACTCAGTGGTCTCACTCCTCCATTTCCATCTTCAGCAGCATGCCAAGGGCGCACACGACATCGGTCTGCACGCCGACAATTGCTGCGGACAAAACAAAAACAAAACAGTCGTTGGGTACCTCTGCTGGCGAGTCATTGTGGGGCTCAACGAATCCATCGACCTGTGCTTCATGCGCGTTGGGCACACTCGATGCTTTGTCGATGGCGGCTTTGGGTTGCTGAAGCAGACTTACAGGAAGTCCGACGTCGATACACTTCAGCCGCTAGCTGATGCAACAGATAAATCAGCAGCCTTCAACAAGGCCGTTTTGTTTTCATGGGATTGGAGACAGTGGGATGCATACCTTTCCACTGTTTTCAAGCCCGTGAAAAACATCACGAAATACCAGAATTTCCACTTCTCAGCTGACAAGCCTGGGATGGTGGAGATGTCTGGATCATCGACGGAGGCTGACAAGACCTTGTCGATTATCAAGCCGGATGCTGACATCAGCACATTGAAGACGGAAGTCCTTCCACCTGCCCTGCAACCAGCCGGGATGTCACACGCTCGTGCCGACTACCTTTTCAAGCAGGTTCGTCAGCACTGTCACGAGGAGAACAGAGACATCACCTGCCCTGCTCCTACTGCCTTTGCTGCTGTCGCAGCTACCCTACCAACAGAGTGAAAGCTGGAAAAGAAATGCTTAGACACTCTATTGTAGTCCTGAACTGTTTTCTGTTATTGTTACAACTTGGATACAAACAGTAGTACCAACCATGCTGAGTTTTCAAAATCAATTCTAAGATGTGCAAATCCAAAATTTGACTCCTACTCATAAAATGCATTGCTACATGGTGAATATTGCTCTGAAATCCGTGAAACGTTGTCAAAATACTCTACACAGGTCAGAAATCATTTTACAATGGAAAAGTCATTTTCACCAAAATAGCCCGGAAGGTCGATTTTCTCAGATATTGGGCCATATTGTGTGTGTAGAGATAGTATGGATATAAGAATAGCTACACTGTGTGTGTAGGGATAGTATGGATATAAGAATAGCTATATTGTGTGTGTAGGAATAGTATGGATATAAGAATAGCTATATTGTGTGTAGGGATAGTATGGATATAAGAATAGCTATATTGTGTGTATAGGGATAGTATGGATATAAGAATAGCTATAATGTGTGTGTAGGGATAGTATGGATATAAGAATAGCTATTATTGTGTGTGTAGGGACAGTATGGATATAAGAATAGCTATATTGTGTGTTTAGGGATAGTATGGATATAAGAATAGCTATATTGTGTGCGTAGGGATAGTATAGATATAAGAATAGCTATATTGTGTGTGTAGGGATAGTATGGATATAAGAATAGCTATAATATTAGTGTGTGTGTAGAGATAGTATGGATATAAGGATAGCTATATTGTGTGTGTAGGGATAGTATGGATATAAGAATAGCTATATTGTGTGTGTAGGGATAGTATGGATATAAGAATAGCTATATTGTGTGCGTAGGGATAGTATGGATATAAGAATAGCTATATTGTGTGTGTAGGGATAGTATGGATATAAGAATAGCTATAATATTATTGTGTGTGTAGAGATAGTATGGATATAAGGATAGCTATATTGTGTGTGTAGGGATAGTATGGATATAAGAATAGCTATATTGTGTGTGTAGGGATAGTATGGATATAAGAATAGCTATATTGTGTGTGTAGGGATAATATGGATATAAGAATAGCTATATTGTGTGTGTAGAGATAGTATGGATATAAGAATAGCTATATTGTGTGTGTAGGGATAGTATGGATATAAGAATAGCTATATTGTGTGTGTAGGGATAGTATGGATATAAGAATAGCTATATTGTGTGTGTAGGGATAGTATGGATATAGTAAAGGACTCGCTTGGTTTTTTTCTTTGTGTTTTTTCTTGACAACTTTTCAGTTCAATCTGACATGCGCAGTGACTTGGATGGAAAAATCGGCGATGTGCAGTCATCAGTTACTGCTGTATCAGCTATGGTGGAAGTCCCTCTCAAGAAGGTGAGTTTTGTCACACTAGTATTGTACCGTGTTTGTCAGAGTGTAGTTCCAACTTTAGATACGCTATTTCAGGCCACAAGTTGCTGGTGAGCACTGTGCTCCAAATATGAGAATATGTGCACTTTGGAGGAAGTCTAATGACTATGGATGTCCCTGTAGCCAAATTTACCACATCTGAGTCCATGACTCTACACAAAACATATTCATACATTTCTGGTGTCTTTTGCCAGCTACACTGCAAATGCAAGATGTGCATGAAACGCCATATGTTACACTTGCATTTACGGATGTAATTTTTATGAAAATGTTGGCTCTGATCACACTATAGTACTGTCTTTGTAATCCAAAATGTTCTCAAATCAGGACTGCGTATTATACTCCCGATATACCTTGAGTTGCCTTAAGTTAAACTTTGGCAAAATTTGTTCTGTGTATTATGCTCAGGTGCGCTTTATACTCTGGCAATTAGGGTAGTTAGTGTGTGTTAAAATGCATACTGGCATGTTTGCTTTTGTCACGCACCGCTACTTAACCCTTTTCGAGCCATGAGCGCATATATGTGGAAAATAATTCACGCATCATATCGCAGTGCATAGACCAGTGTACAAACTATGGTAAATCCGTGACACATAAACACGTCGCGACAATCAATACACCGTAGCAAAGGTCTTGAGGTCATCTTTCCGAAGACACAAATTTCGTTGCGATAGGATATAGAACCACTGAGCGGCAACAGGATGAACACCAAAATCACTGCCCGGGGCGAACGCTCATTATATCGCAGTGCATCGTCCAGTGTACAAACTATCGTAACTCCGTGAAACATAAACACATCGCGACAGTGAATACACCGTTGTAAATGTCTTGCGGTCATATAAAGTTCGTCGCGATAGGATAAAGAATCACTGTTTGGCGACAGGATGAACGAGATTACGGCCCGGAGCCAACTCCATTTTTTATTCATGACTTCGCAGTTTTTTGGAGCAGGCTAGGGGATTTTCCTTTGGCACGACGCATGCATGATGGACATCAAATGAAGCGCTTGGACCTCAGCTTTCCAGCGCAGTTCGAATCGTGAAAATCGGGTGAATTTGGGCAAGATGTCGAACAAGAACATGAAATTGAGTTGTTGTACCGTTCCGAGGCACGGTGGAGTAGTTTGGAGAGGAGGAAAAAGTGGCCCTGGTGTGTCTATGTCGCTGAGATCTACCATGATGGATTCGCTTGGTCCTGATCTTTCCAACGAGGCCAGGATGATGAAATTCCATCAAGGTGGAGTAAATTGAGAAAAATTTCGTTCAGAGCTGTGCGCTAACTACACAAAGCGAGTCAGTGCGCTGGACAGCCGGCCGATTGGAGAAAAGGGGCCCAGCATGGAAAGGGTTAAGTGCTATGTGGTACTGCACTTGCATTGCCAACGCAGAGCTTTGCGCACACCTAGCCTGACGTCACATGTATCTTCCCTGGTAACGCCAACCAACATGGTGTCGTCCGTGCATGTGCGTGAATGCTTGCTTTCTCTGTATTTCTTGATGTTGGCTACACTGCAAAGTCATAATTTTGGCGACTTTCAGCTTGTGCTACCATCAGATTTTTATTCTCTCATCCCCACGCTTCAAAATCAGACTTCATTGACGCTTGTTGGTGCCTGAAACAATGCCGTCGTCAACTGTGCACTTCTTGCTTTTATCAGCATCGGATTTTAATATATGTGCGCTTCAAATTCAGACGTCAGTGACACCTGTGCACTTTGGTTCAGATATCGCTGGATGACATGGAGTACAAAGCATTCAGATGACTCTGCCCCTCTCGCCATGGACGTGTGCGAATTGCTAGTCAGCCACTTATCCACTTTGGGTCCAGCTGGGATTCGAGAAGTAATTCAAGTTGAAGTTCATTCTGCCATAACGGACAAGGTTGGAACCTCTGTCTTGCCGCAACCATGGACAGTACTAGCGTCACCAGCTGTGTTAGCCGACAATGGCGTGAGTGCTGCATACTCAACACCCTGCTGGCTGGGTGATCAAGATAGGTGCTTGGGAATATGATGACAGCATGTTCATATCCTGCTGGAACTTCTCTGACCTACTGTTGCCTTAGACCTTGGAGGCAGTTGATAACCATAAGTCTTTTTTGCTCAAATTTAGTTCGTCCGGGGATGCAATATCAGTTGAAGCGGTGCTGGGCACCATTCGCCTGGCTTGTAGACGTCTGCATGCTATCACAACATGGTCGACAGCAGCGTATCTCCATATGAATGTTGTGATTAGTAATGCACTCTTATTACACTGCCGGAAGGCTGTTATCCCAGTGCATGGATTTTTCAGGTCAACAGGCAGTATTTCGCAGAGGCTTTGTAAAATCCACAATTTTGAAGGCCTGTCGCTTCCCAGCCAGGCAAGCAATTTGCTACCACTGACGTAAATACTTGGCCACTCTGTATCCCAGGCGAAGCTAGGCCTCAATGTATGTCATGAAAACCTTGTTCACCTGGTGTCTGAACACAACACGTGTCCTTTCTTTCATCTCGAAATAGCACACCAAGCCCAAACAGCATCATCTTCGCTGCTCACCCGCAACAATGCAGGCGCCGTCATCTACCTCAACCTCAATCTCACCAAGTGCATATGGTCAATCTGCCAGCTCATCTACATTTGCAACCACTGTGACAAGGATCATCCACGTAACCAGTACTCCGGCAAAAGTTCACCAACAGCCAGCCCAGTAGATGGGATCACGAGATCCCAACGTGAACTGCAAATACCTGTTGCATGCGTTCATAACCTTCCTTTCCCATACTTTGCTCAGTACATCTTAACGTGCCAAAATCAGATACTACTAGTATGGCCCCACCTCAGCCAGTGTATCTTGTGAAGCTAGGGATCAAAAGTGTGTTCCGGCATATCCCAATATGTCCTGAAGACCACCCGCTATTTGTCATATTCTGGCAAGGCAGTTAATAGTACGAACGTGCTCTAGCATTTGGACTTTGCTTGAACTCTGCCAATCTCTTTGATTCAGTTGCCTCAGCCATAGAATGGATTGTCAGTAACCATTTCTCTAATGCCACGCTTTGCAACTCCTAGGACGATTTTCTAAACATTTAACCCTTTGGAGTCCGTAACTTTTTTGCTTCCGCAGAATTTGTGGCAGTCACGAAAATGCGCACTCCATTTCCAACATAACTTTGGTTCTACTTCACCGATTTTGAAGATCTTGGGCTCGTTGGAAAGCTCTTGATGAGAGAAAAACAATGAGCCCAAACTCGCCAAGAGCACTATTCATTGTCCGCCACAACGCGCCCCAAACGCGAGTCCAGCTCCAGATCTGAGACGAAATCGGTCTCTTGTAGCCATTTCACTGAATCTAGCTCAGAACTGTTCAAATTTTTTCGAGTAGAAGCTTATCTTGCCGTGACATCGCGCCGCGCCGGTCCTGGCATGTGCCGCCTGTCATGAAGCTGGGAAAATCCCTTTTTTTCACGCACTGCTGACTCGCAGCACGCAGCGCAGAAAATTCGAAATGCTTGATAGCTTGCCGCTCACTCAAACCTCATCAGAGAGACTTCGGACCTGTTCGAGGCGATAGCTGAGAGTTTTCTCTACCATCTAGACCATTCGATTGTTGAATTGGGTCAAGATTTGGCCGAGAACCGAAAGTTTGACTGCGCCCATATGCATACAAAATGCTCATGGTTCGAAATCGAACCATGGACTCCAAAGGGTTAAACTGGCCAAACTGTTGCACAGCGTTAATTAGTAATCCTGCTGTGGTCCTTCCTCTATCTATTCGTGTCACTAGCGCCAGCAAAGGTGGAAGGTTCTGTGAGATCATTGACTTAACTCGGTATCATCCTGGACTGTGTGCGGCCCTAGGCTAGGATGTCCATGTTGGTGTTGACCAGCACAATCAACAGCCAGAAAATATCCAACACCAACTCGAATCCCTATCGGATAAGCTCTAGTTTGTTGCCCATGGCATTCCTCCGAATAGAACCTTATCACTAGACCTCAGACTACACACAGATGCAACTGGCACCCATTGATGAGGTGCTTACAACGGGAAGTTGACTCAAGGTTCATGGAACAGCACCCACAGTGACATGCTGCAGTCTATGGAGTAGAAGAATGTATATGCCCCTTGTAGCAGCCTGCACTGCAAGGGATAGCATCAGATTTTGCTGAAACGTCTTCAAGCTTCAAACTCCGAAATGTCATCAATATCAGTGTAAATCGGATGCACACTGCTAGCTCCCAGAATGTCACCGCCGATTGACTTTCTCCTTTTCGTATGCTGGAATTTCGTTGTCATGCTCCAGTAGCCCAGCTAAACCCGGACCATGGTCATCTTCCTGTGTTCTTGTGATCGAAGTCACCAAGTAAACTGCCTGTGCAATTGCTGCTGATATCAGATGCACCAGACTCTGCCTGTGAATGTTCTTTTGTTGGTTTTCATCCCTTTGCAATCTGCAACCTTACTCAGCTTCTGATCCTGTCATTTGCTACCTTGCACTTTATTGCTCGCTGTGTCTGTCCTTGTGTGATATCTATTTACTTGGAAGATGTAAGAAATGCACCCGTTGAACAGGGTCTAGAGGATCCCCTGGCCAAGACCTGGCTTATCAAGGCAGTGTTGATGGTTGTCCAACAATGACATGTGATTGAGCCAGTGAAGCATATATTGCCCATAACCCTGCTTATTCTAAGGAAGTTTGTTTATGCCCACCAGCCCGTCCTCAATTTGGCTGAGCTTGACTGCGTTCTTCTTGAGTTTGCTGCATTTTCGACATCCGTCTGTTGCCAAGATGCTTAGAATTGATCGAGGGCCTGCGGACAGACTGCATCAGATTTGAATCAGGCAGCATAATCATACTGTTGAAGAAATCAAGGACTGACGCATCAGCTATCCTGGCAGCCACATGTCTCCAGTGTTGTGCAGAAGGCGTCAGTCGCCATCAGCCAGCTATGGCGCCATGGGCGATCTCTGCCCATAAGAGCCCG